CAAATATTTCATCATAGTCTTCTCCATATTTCTGTGAGTAGAGTAACCTTTGGCTACTAAACGTGCCTTATAGCGCTCAACCATACCGTCATCTCCATACTTTGCTTTAAATATCCATTTACATCCAACTGCTGTTTTCTGTGGAGGTAAATCTACAAGTTCCCATGTATCATTTTTTAATAAGGCTTCCATTTCTTCTTGAGCTGCTACAACCCATTGTTTTTTCTCAGGTTCAGGCAATTTCTCCAATTGTTTCCAAGATTTTGGCTCAATCACATTTCCTTGAGCTATTAATGATAGTCTGTTAGGAGGAACACCTTTTGTTTTTCTTTCAGATTTTCTTACTTTCAAGTTAATATCATTACCTATTCTGATGATCATCTCCATTATTATCCCCATCAATCATATATGGCTCGTCATGTTCAATCTCTTCCATTTCATTTGACATATTTTCTTTAGTTTCATTTGTTAATGTTTGCCTATCATCAAGTAAATTTTTCTCATCAGTACCTTTTGGTTGATCAACTTGAACACTTCTTTGATTTTCTTCGACCTTTTCATGTCTTTGGAGTAAACTGTCTACAGGCAATACCCTAAAGCTTGAATTAGTATGATTTGCATCGACATGTGGAAAGGAAGATGTGTCAAAAACTACATCTCGAGTTGTAATGATTTTCCTATCTTCGGGTAACCACATCCTCCAGCCCTTTGATACATCTGAGTAACCAACAAATATCCCTTCTTTTGCTCTTGATTGAAATTTGTCATTTGTCTTGTCTAGGATAAAACCTTTACAACCAAACTTTTTTTAGATATGAAACATTTGGAATTTTCCTATACCATCTATGATATGGTAATACACCATCGATTGCATCTGATGGGCATCTATTCCTAACATGAGCTGCTGTTGCAACTGCCTCTGCCCAAAACGTTTGAGGAAGATTTGCTTCAATGAGCAAACATCTTGCCATGTCGTTTAATGTACGATTCATCCGTTCAGCCACTCCGTTTTGTTGAGGCGTTCCGCTACATGTTAATCTTCTCTGAATACCATTACAATTCAAAAATCCATCGAACTCTCTGTTAACATACTCTCCTCCATTGTCTGTTTGAAGATATTTAATTTTTCTTCCTGTAAAATTTTCTACTTTGTTCTTGTACCTTTTGAAAGAATCTAATGCATCACTTTTCTTCTTCAAAAAGTAAACTTCAACCCATCTTGAGCTATCATCAATAAAAGTAATGAAATATTGAGATTTTCCATGTGACTCAGTTTTCATTGGTCCACAGATGTCAGAGTGAATAATGTCCAGCACTTCAGATGTTCTTTCACTTTTAGGAAAGGGTCTTTTTGTAAACTTTCCTTGAATACACACCTCGCATTGTGGAATAAGCTCTTTTGTGTTCACTTTAATACCTTTAACCATATTTAAATTGATTATTCTTTTCAAGTCTCCAAAGTTCAAGTGTCCAAAATGTTGGTGCCAAGACAATAGACTTGATTTTTCACAGCTTATATTCATTTCTTCACTACTCTCTTGTACGTAATAAAGTCCATTTAACCTATTCGCATGGATCTTTGTCTGTCCATTCTGATCTATTATCAAAGCAGCATCTTTTTTAAACAAAACTTGATACCCATGGTCAGTAATTTTAGCTACAGACATCAGATTTGTTCGAAGTTCTGGTACATACAAAGTGTCATACAAATTAACGCTTAGATTTGTACTCCCATTTAAAATGTTCATATTAACTGTTCAAACCCCTCTTGCATCAGTTGATGAATTGTTGGCAAGAGATATAGGCCTACTTCTTCCATTTACAGGCTTGTACTTGGTAAATTTACTGTTCACATGAGTCATATGTGAAGTGCATCCACTGTCCAAACACCACTGTATATCTTTCATTGACAAGTTTCCAAAATAAGAGTCATCTTGTACTGAAGAATTAAGTCCTACTTCTTCTAGCTTAGCAATCGCTACGTTTTGTTGATCTTTATTTGCTTTGGGACAAAATTTTGCTTTATGCCCGATCGCTTTACATATAAAGCATCGAAACGGAAAATCAACTGATTCCGTTCTATTTCTATAAGAGTCTTTTGAAAATCTTCCTGGTTGAAATCTAACTTTATTCTGAAATTTTCCTAGCAGAGCTTCACTACTCTCTTTCTTACCATGTTCTTTTCTCGCTTCCCACTCTTCTACAATTTTTATTTTCAAAGTTTCAGGAGAAGGCAGTGCATCTCTAGTTTCAATAGCAATTCTAAAGTTTTCAAATTCATCTGACAGGGAATACAAAAGAATAATTGTCAAAAGATCCTCATTAATATCTATGTCCATTCCTTTTAATTTGTCCACTACATCAAAAAACATATTCATGTAATCTCTGACATCATAATCAGGGGTCAGTTTTGCCAAAATTAGCTTCTTTAACAAAAAGGCTTTCCTTGCTGGTCCACTGGAATCATAAATGCCTTTTAATTTTTCCCATATCTCTGCTGAAGTGTTACATCCTTTCACTTGCTTTAATTCGCTTGGGCTGATAGAGAGGATTATATCTGCCTTTGCCTTTGCATCAGTGATTAGCCAAGCAGTCATTCTTTCACCTTCTTCTAGAGGCCTTTTAATGGTTCCTAACACATACCCAAGTAAATCATTTTTAACTAAAACTGCTTCCATCTGCATTTTCCATGTGTCATAATTATTTCTGTTCAAAAGTTCAATGTGATTACTCATATTTCTTTCCATATTCCTCACTTAATTGAGTCTCATAATCTGTTAAAATTGAATCAACTATTCTTTAATAACACTCACACAATAATAACTTTTATTTACTTATAATCATAACAAAACTAGATATATAACATATGATTTTATAAAACAGGTAATAAGTAAATTGGATGATGTAACTCCAACACACCCTCTCAACATCATGCCTAGTAAAGTCCTAGGTAAAAGAGTGATCTTTTAAACACTTGCCCTAGAAGTGGCTTTGTTAAAAGGTCCGCTTGATTATTTTCACTTGGACAGTATTCCAGAAATACTTCGTTCTTATTTATCATTTCTCGGACGTAATGTTTTCGAATATCTAAATGTTTTATTCTAGCACTCATCTTTTCATTTTCAATAAACTTGATACAGCTCTGATTGTCTTCAAATATTACTGTAGGATTTTCTTGGAGGAAGCCCATATCTTTCAACAATAGTCTTAACCACACTACTTCTTGAGTGGCTAAGCTTGCGGCCATGAATTCAGCTTTTTCAACTAACCCTAAGTTTTCATCATTTTCATTCTCAGAAATAGGCCTAACACTATTTTCTTCAAAAATATTCTCTATGGTACTAAGCATGTAGTTGTCCTCAGGTAGGCCTAAATCGTAATCATTGTTACTTACATTATATACACTACTAGCTGTGTACCCGTTCTACGCACGGGGATCTTATAATATTCAGTTGAAACCTTCTTATATAACGAACAGCAGTTGGTTTGCATATTTTAAGATATGCTGGCCAAACTATTATACATAGCTTCATTTTATGTTGTTTTTTGTTGTTCCGGATCGGTATGACAATCAATAAAAGGTTAAATTACCTCTGTGTCTGCCGATCGATCCTATAACGGTAGGCTTACTTTTATTTTTACTATCTGATCTCGTTTGCATGGCTCAATCACGTCCTGGTTGAAGTTCGTTCGCTACGCTCACTCACCTGTATGTTGGAGCTCGTTCGCTGCGCTCACTTTCCTTCAGGTTAGCTCGTTCGCTACGCTCACTTGCCTTCAGGTTAGCTCGTTCGCTACGCTCACTCGCCTCCAGGTTGCAAATTAGCTGTTGTCATAAATGTAAAAGAAATAATAGTGCTAGTGCTGCACCCTGTTGGTAATCCTTGTAACTTTAATGCTATTGAACATCACAGAACAGAACCAACTTGTTTAATTGAAACAGCTGTTAAGATTCAATAATTTCATTTCTCATAAGGTTAACATGGGCTTCCAGAAATTCCACGTCAAAAATCGACAAAAACTTGATTTTCAAGGGTTTACTGTTAAATATCTAACTGTCTCATATTCGATGAAATACGTCTAAAACCATCTCATATATGTATAGTATTTGGAAAATAAGTTTCAGGCGGGACAGTGCTATAGTTATTGAGGAGTAGTTGTAATAAAGTGCGTATTTTAGCGTTACCAAGAGAATGACAGATAGACAGACAGACAGACAGACAGACAGACAGAAATTGAGATAAGGTTTGATTCGGTTTCTCTGACCTATGAAATGTAAAAATAACCAAAAAGTTCATTATTCTAAGCAATGTACAGACAAAACTCTAATTTTATTTATATAGATTTACAACATTTGGGTCAAAACAACTCGGGCCAGGAATGGGATCGTCGTAGAGGTTAGTTGAGCTCAATGCAATCTCCTGCAGGTCCAGGAACACTTGTCACCGTAGATTGTTGATGAGAATAAATAAACCCCTCTTCACTGTCAATTTCACCGTCCGATAAATCACTAAAATCATCTCGAGACAAATATTCTGATATGTTGTCCCGAAGTTTGTTAGATCGCGAATCCATTACATAATGTTTACCAAAACACAAACAAAAACAAACAACTCGCGTACGTATTACTTGAGTAAAGTGACAGCTGAGAGCGGAACGAAAACGATTCAGAACTAGCAGTGATGCAAGACTAATAGAACAAAACAAAATATCCCATGATTCCCTGGATTCCCCTGAACAGATCAATACTAAACACAACGTATTAGTGTAACAGCTGATAGCAAAAAAGAGGACGAAAATAACAAGTTGACGTCAGCTCGCATATGTGCGGGCGTGGACCGCTGGCGCGACAGTTGTCTGCTCGCATATATGCGAGCGTGGACTCCAAGAGGTTAAGAAAACAATTTTGGGATAAATAGCCAATATTTATCTGGTGATTATTTATTTTCCCGTCCAAACTATTTATTTTTCATCATCAGTTAGTTATTGTTTGATTGCAGGAGAGGATTGGTGTAGTGAAAAAGATGCTTCTGGCTCACTCTGTGGTTTTCCGAGCAGAATTACAAAATTCCAAGATTGCAGAAAAAAATGATGTTAAACTGCCTGACGTCTTCCCCCAAACTTTTAAGAACTTATTAAGGCAAGTTAAATCTCCCAGCCAATCAGAAAAGTGTTTAAATAGTTGTAAGATTTTGTGGAAATTTAAAATTATTTTAAATCTTTTGTTTTCAGATTTGTTTACGGCTACGATAACACTCAAAACTTGAGCTTTGATGAAGCAGACAACTTGTTGTACGTTGCAGACAAATATTTTATGTCCAAGTTAAAAAATAGACTTGGTATCCGCCTGATGTCTTTGTTGAACCTTACCAACATCTGCAGCCTTATGAATAACCCCGCTTGTTACACCGTTCTCGAGCTAAACTCAATGATTAATGAGGTAAGTTTGTAAAAATTTGTATAGCTCCAGGATTGTGTTAAATTTGACATGGCTATATATGCTTAATCATACAGGATTCCTACCTGTCATGAATTGTCTGATGAGCAGTGGCGGATCCAAGCTGGGGGACGAAGGGTGTGACCCTCCCCCTCAGTAATATAGAAATTTTTTTAATGCATGTATTGTCAAAATTTTGCCGTGATCGTGGAAGACGATGATGACGTTTCTATGACTATGGGAGACGAGAATCATGTCTACATGGCCGCGGGAGATGATCAGAATTCAGTCGTGAATGCGGAAGACGACTATAATGTCTGCACGACCGCAGGAGATGTTTGTAGTTTTTCCGCAATCGTGGAAGATGATGTTGATGTTAGTCTCCGCTGGGGTTATTTAGGGTTTTGCCATGACCGCCCCGACAATGACGGTGTACATACGACCGCGAGAAATGAACACAATTTTACCGCGATCAGCAAAGATGTTAGAATTTAGCCGCGAACGTGGAAGGGAACGATAATGTTTATTTGACCGCTAGATGTTCATGATTTTGCCGCGATCGAGGAAGTCAATGATGGTGTTCCGTAACCGAAATGGTTATTCAGGGATTTGCTGTGACTGTGAATTATAATATGACGATGTGGTGGGGGGGGGGCTTTACCTCTAATCTCACCCCCCCTCTATCTATAGCTGGATCCGCCACTGCTGACAAGGTGCGTCTTAGTCATAAAATTTAACTTTATACTGGGTTTAAAGTTTTCAAGGCGATTGAAGAGAGTTAAGCATGTTTGAATTTGTTTAACGAATTTCCCTATAGGGAAGTAGCTATTACCGTAGGGGGACGGAAAGACCTAGGCCAGCAGCAAACCTAAATACTCATGAAATCTGATGTTATTTAAACGTGGAAGAAATATGTCTTGTTTTTGGAAATATTGTACTATATTTCAAATCATATAAATTGAAATTCACTTAGTCAGCAGGTTTGCTGCTGCAGGGGTATTATTCCTTTATAACACTACCTTATAAAAAAAGTTAGCATTCAATTTCCATTTGATTTTTATTTATATTCACTATGTATTGTTATAACATATATTTTACCTGTAATAACTTCCTAATGTTGTGCTGTAACCCCTAATCTTAAAATCTATTCAACCTCTGAGCTATCCGAGATTCTATACCAAAGTAGTCTGGGAGTGAACTGTGTTTTTCGTACAGTAAGTAAAGAGTACAATACTGAATTGCTATTTACCTTTAGCAAGTTTGAATTGAAATGATTGTTCTTGTATTCAGATACTCCAGACAGAAACAGACAAGGTTTTGGCTAGTCCTCTGTTTCCTGACCTGTCTCCCCTCGGCTTTCTAACAATCCTGCAACAGGAGGTGTGTAATGTACCTGAAATTGACCTCTGGGCCTCTGCCATTGAATGGGCTACGCATAGAGGTAATCAGTGTTCTCACGTAATTTGATGAGTTTCTAAATATTTTTTAGTACAGTATTTAAAAAACAATTCCTGATTGAATTTTTTTTATTGATTATTGTCGAGGTTTTCTTTAAGATTTTATGTCCTCTATGCCACAAAAAGGGCAACTTTTCATGAGTTGCAAATGACCTGACAGAGGCGGCTTAAAAACAATACTAGTAAACCCAACACCCTACAGTTGTAACAAGTCTGTCTCACAGATTGTAAACCATGTCAGACAATGTGCTAAAACCATTTGGTTGAGTAACACTCCTGAGGTGTAAATGTTTATTATTTTACCTGTATTCATTAAATTTTAAAATGCACAAAAGTGGTCCTGGACAATTTAAAAATGTTAAATATCATACCATTGTTGAAGCAAACCTGTAGGCTATTAGATTATCTTATCTTATCTTACTAATATTATAAATGTGAAAGTTTGTGCCTTTGTTTGTTTGTTTGTTTGAAGCTATATCACGCATTAACTACTGGACGGATTGGGCTGAAATTTGGCATGATGATAGCTCACATTCCCGATTAACATATAGGTATATTCTTATCTCAAAAATACTTTCAGGCTACGCCCCAGTGGCTGTGTAGTTCCCCATGTTAACGTTATGAGTATTCATCTTTAAAGGGAATTAAAGAATTTAGTCAGCTGTTTTAACTAAAAAAGTTGGTTCTATGATATGCAAAAGCATTTAAAACTTATAAGATTTAACAACAGGGTGCAGCACTATATTTATTTTGCATTTTTATGAAAACTGCTATTTTGAACTAAGCAGCAACAAAAAACTGTGATATGCAATGAGAACTAACTGTCAAAGTACCTAGGATTGTTTACAGTTATGTTTATGTTTTTAGTTTCAGGAATAATTTGTGATATTTTAAGAATTTTTTTAAATGTATTTTTCTCTATCGAACAAGAACATTTTCTCTATTGGTGAAGTGGAGAACATTATGGCTATGGTAGATGTGTAATACTATAGAAAACTGTAAATTTAAAGAATCAAATTTTATCAAACTGTTTCTTCTCCCATTGCAAATGCAAAGCTTGAGTATAACTGCAATAAGCGTTTTATACTTAAATGCCAACCCCGTACGAAGGACGGGTACTCTGCTAGTACTAAAATATTTCTTTAAACATAACTGATTTATTCCCCATTAATGATTTTATCCTGTTCAATTAAAATTTAATAAATAACACTTGTTCCCTTCTCCGTTGCAGCAAACTTAAAGAACATGTTCAATCTAATGTTATTGAAAGGGGAAAAGACTTGTTTATGGAAACAGTTTGAGTAAAAATCTATTCATATGAATAAAATTTTCCTTTAAGGTTTGCTGAAAGGGGTATTTTATTTTAGTTTAATTTTAGTCTGTTCGCATAATTTTAATAGAATAGCTTTTACTCTTTTCATCAAATGATAAATTTCAGTTTCAGGAGAGTCGAAAAATGGAGAAGTCTTAAGGGATAAGTTAAATGACCATCTGAAACACATTCGAATCTGTACATTGTCTGGCGAAGATTTGATGACTCAAGTAGTACCTTCAGGAGTACTGACATATGATGAACTCAAGTTGATCGGTGAGACTCGCAGAACTAAGAAGGTACAGCCTGACCTGACAACAATCTGCAACAAGATTAAAAAGAGGGAAGAACCGTTGTCAGAATTGATGGAACAAAAATTGAACCTGGAGGATGAATATAGAAACACTACTAATCCAAAAATAACTATCAATACTAAAGGAGTCACAATTAAGTTGTGTTCAATAAAGCTTATGAGCGACAGTACAAGTCAACGACACCAATGCAGTTGCACAATAACAATACAAAAGGGGACAGAACCCCCTACTGAGATGAGGTACCAAGGACCAATCTTTGGAGGAGCTTCAAACAATACCATTTCGTTTGATGCCATGAAGAACGTGCGTTTGTCTCCAAATTCAAGCTATTCAGTGAGCCTCAGTTTTGATTGTGGGTGTAATCCTTATCTTTACCATACGATGAGATCAACAGAAAAAGGGAAACACTTTGACACTAAATTTAACACCTGTTCTGGATACACTGTTTCCTCTATAGAAACAATATGTTATAAAACAGTAGGACTAAAAAAAAATGCTTGATCTCTGAGGAGGACACAAGTTGACAATGCTGAAGAAATGCTTTCATGAATAATTTATTATTACAGTGGACATAATATTGAGAATCATATAAACCAAATAAAAAGGGATACACTCCTATACTTTATTTGAAAATATCTTGTGTGATAGAACGAAAAACACTTTGTTCATTGGATGTAAGGAAACAGTAGTTTTTACCGAACTATTTGAGTTCCTTGTGGGCCTCTTACTTTTTATGTTTTATTTAGTTTTTCATCAATGTGACAAAACTTTACTTTTTGTTACAGGACATACCGTAACTCTTATTTGTTTTCCTTGGTTAATAGTAGCCTGTTCATCCTATGATTCTGTTTTGGTTGTTTCTTGGTAAAAATATATGATTGAATTTTAAGACTTAATTTAGCATTTATCTCATATTAACTATTTGTCTGTTGAAAAAATATATTGTTTAAATATTTATGTACCTCTGTTACTATAAATTCTATTTCATGGCACTGTAAAATTTATAAAATTGCAAATTGGGCTCTGTAGTGGATAAGTAAATAAGGAACTAGTAAAACACAGCTTCCAACTGATGTAAATGTTAAATACATTTTGTTAATTCAGCTAGTAAAACTAACTTGTAAATTACTGCAAGCACCTGTCAATAAACATAACTATAAATTAACGTCTTGCCTGATTATAATAATGTCCCCTTTATTTATTTTTATAATGCTCCTATAGCATTTGATGTTATTCTAGTATCAAAGAAACTAATTATTCATTTATTAACTAAGTACGAGAGCTGGCCCCGTGGTCGAAAACTCGACCAAGAGTATGTATTGGCAAACTTCTCTATTTTCACCCCACGCTGTAAATAAAACATTTTCCCTGGGATGCACAGGAGCTGAGAGAAAAAGGTTTTCAATAAAAATGCTTGTCTATGAATAATATTAATGCATAATTATATATCATATCTCTATATTATTACTAGCTGTACCTGCAGGCTTTGCCCCGTTTACCTTCATAAGTGAGCTCGTTCGCATGGCTCAATCACGTCCTGGTTGAAGTTTGTTCGCTACGCTCACTCACCTTTAGGTTGGAGTTCGTTCGCTACGCTAACTCGCCTCCAGGTTGAAGTTCGTTCGCTACGCTCACTCACCTTTTGGTTGCAAATTAGCTGTTGTCATGAATTAAAAAAATAATAGTGCTGCACCCTGTTGGTAATCCTTGTAACTTTAATGCTATTGAACATCATAGAACAGAACCAACTTGTTTATTTGAAACATCTGTTAAGATTCATTAATTCCATTTAAATATGAGTACTCATAAGGTTAACATGGGAAATTCCAGAGCCACTGGGGCGGAGCGGGAGAGTCCGATCAGAATAAAAACAACTTAGTTTTCCTTTTAAATGCCTAAAGAATCAGTGTACCAAATTTCAGCCTCCTAGGTAAATGGGAAGTAAGAGAATTAGTGATGAGTGAGTGAGTCAGTGAGGGCTTTGCCTTTTATATCTCTATATTATTATATATTACATAGAGTTAGCCCCATGTTAAATCTCTGTAAGAAAAGTTGAATTTCCATTTTTGACCCAATTAACATAAATAACTTCAAAATACAAATAAAACCTGCCTATTTAGTACCGATAACCTTTCTTTTGGTAAAACACGTGTGTAATTTGGTCCTGTAGTATGGTCAGGCTGGCTGTCTTAAGCTTTAAATATTGGCCCTATGTTAAATCTTCATAAGAAAAGTTCATTTTTATATTGGTTCCTAGAGGTCGCCCTGTTGACGAAAACTCTACCAAAAATATGTAATGTTAATGTACAAACTTCTCTATTTTCACCCCACACTGTAAATAAAACATGTAATTGGAATTTGTTTAGATTTTCTGTTTATATTGTGTTGTTATTTGGTCACCAGAATGGCAACCCATAAGACCCATGTAAATTTTTTTGGAATTTCAATTTAATTTTTCATACTTATTTCTGAGCCTATTTTAATTTATAAAGGGATTCTGCACATCTACAGGTAAATATCTTTCATTTGGTACCAACCGGGTGTAATTCGGTCCAGTAGTATGGTCAGGCTAGCTGTCATAAGTTTTGCAAAAGTAACTTAAGGCACATTTTGGATAGCGCTGTGTTCACAACGATATGGTAGCACTGGTTAAGTATCGATTGTCGTAGTATGAAAAGAACTACTATCGAATATCGTGAATCGATTGGCTTCCATAGCGCATGTTTTATCTATGATAGCGCCAACCAACCAACCAAAACGAGAAACAAACAAGTTTAGCTGCTATAACTCATGTTACTGTATCAAATTTTAAATTTATTTATATAAATGTCATCATATTTACTTATTGTTTAATGTAAAACAGATTGTAAATAAAACTTTGTAAAAAAAGCCAAACCAACCAACACCGACAGAAAGAAGAGAGAAGACAGAGATAATAAAAACTACTAGCACTAGCCTAAAAGAGGAGGGAAATATTTGATTTACTGTAATTAGGTTATTTAATTTATTCCAACTTTGTTTTTTATCAGTTTCATGGTGCATTATTATGGAGGAAATATGCAAAAATGCAAAGGCGGGCGTCTAAACGCTTTTAAAAGTAAGGGGGGGGGGCGGTAATTTATCTGGCGTTAATTGCGTAAGTTACTGGAATATTAATTTTAAAATTACTCCGTAATTTAAGTTCTTATATACGAGGCATGTTTTTTAAGTAAGTACCGTTTTTAAATTTCTCCGTTGTAGTGCTGCGATTGGCATTTTGGACATTTGCGCTGTATATGTGCATCTATTGGCAAGCCCTAGCCGGAAATTCGACAACAATCGGCCGTGTTTACATCCGGTATCGAGCATTCAAAATGGTGCCACCAATTGAGACTGCCGCCGAGTGTGAAGTGCGCGCTGTAATTAGAGTTTTAAGTGCTAAAGGTGTGAAAGCCATTGAAATTTATCGACAGATTAGTGAGGTGTATGGCGAGAACATTTATGAGTGATGGAATGGTATGCAGGTGGGTAAGGGCCAGCGAACACAGAAGGGCATCTAAAGACGGCCCCACTAACGTCCATCATGAGCAACGCACTGGGCAGCGTCACTGTCCCCAGTACCCAGTGCGTTGCTCATCATGAACGTCGGTGGGGCCGTCGTTAGATGCCCTTACCCACTTGTGTACCATTCCGTCACTCATAAATGTTCTCGCCATACACCTCACTAATCTGTTGACAAATTTCAATGGCTTTCACACCTTTAGAACATAAAAATCTAATTACAGTACGCACTTCACAGTCGGCGGCAGTCTCAATTGGCGGCACCATTTTGAATGCTCGATACCGGATGTAAACACGGCCGATTGTTGTCGAATTTCCGGCTAGGGCTTGCCAATAGATGCACATATACAGCGCAAATGTCCAAAATGCCAATCGCAGCGCTGGAACGGAGAAGTTTAAAAACGGTACTTAATTAAAAAACATGCCTCGTATTTACCATGCTGGTGATCAGCCTTACATATTTATAATAAATTATTAATTGGATAATAAACATCAGTGGCAAATTTCATGCCATGTTCAGATATTGTTTTACTTATTTATTTGCATTCACTCTCACTGTAATATTGTGAATTAAATTATGGCCTTCCGTCGTCAAGGCCACTTATAACGTTTGACGATGACGACAGACATAGGAGTTACTAAAACTGTTACAGTAGGATTAAGTGTTTTGAGAGAGCTTTGCCTGTCAATCCGTAGGCAGCGCCACCAGCGTTGCTATGCTGAGTGCTAAAAAAAATCAAATTGAAACAATTTTGTTTAAGAAACTTAAATCATCTATCATTATACTAGAGGTCGTCCAGTGGTCGAAAAGTCAACCAAAAATATGTAATACATGTACAGACTTTTCACCCCATGCTGAAAATAAAACATGTGATTGGAATTTCTTCCATTTGTTTTTACTTTCTGTTCATTTTGTTCTTATTTGGTCACCAGCATGGTAACCCATAAGGCCCATGTTTTTTTTATAATTTTTAAATTCATTTTACATGCTTATTTTTAGCCTATTTTAATTTATATAGAGAGTGCCCGCACATCTACAGGAAAATATCTTTTTCCTACAGTCACCCGACAAAGTTGGCTTCCCTGTACTGTTTATAGTACAGAAAGCTGCTAATTGCTGCATATTTATACTTTGCCGCACATCAGGATTCCAACCAAACAACACAAAACAGCGTGGTTTTATTATGCACGTAATCCGTGTACGCTTGGAAATAGGTTGGCAACACTTAAAGATAATAATTCTATGAGCAGCTGATTGACTATTATAACTACGATTTAACCTGTCATTTCGTGTTTATAGTTTAGGTATTTCTGAACTTTCTGGACTTTTCTTTTAAACGTTTTTAAAACATTCCTACGATCTTAATAAACAAGAAAATACCTTTAAAGCATTTTTTTAGGCGCGGAAACCACTTCAAATTACTAAAACATACGGAACTATATTCTCAAAACGAGGAACACATTTCTTGCCGAGGAAAAATAGCGGAGTGATACGGACTGCGGGTACTACTTTCTCTAGGGCACCATTTGTGTTGCCAGCTGAACCTAAAAAAGTGTTGTATGGTGTTTGAAAGACTAATTATTTATATGCTTTATAGTGACTGTAGGAAAATTATAATGTGTAACACGAGTGAAAAAGGCCTTTGCTGCACTCGAGATCATTCCGCACTCGCCTGCGGCTCGTGCGTAAACATTGCTCTCGTGTGCAGCAAAGTGCCACTTTCACCACTAGTTAGACAAATAACTATTCATCACTCCGTAACGAAAGTAACTACTTTCGATAACAGCTGACATCAATGAAAGTAGTCGTTTCCCAAGCTCTAATTTAGGGCGAGGGAAAATCGATCAGCTGATTTTCCCTCGCTCTAAATTTACTTTCCCTCGCTCTCAATTAGTTCTCTATTTATTCACTACGCGCGCTAGTGTTTTGTTATGGTTTAATTTAATGATTTGAATCAGCTGTATGTATTGTTCAAAGTTGTTTTATTCTTTTATTTTGATATTTAAACAAAATGTATTGTGAAATATACGTAAGTTTCCTTTTAGAAAATGTTATTTTGATGTTCAATCAAATTAATTGATAAATAAATAGGTAGTTGTAATATTACTGAGGTCTGCTATTCTGAGTTTGTGTATTTTTGCGTCGTGATGAAAAGTATCGTTCATAACTCGTACCGAAAGTTATTATCCGGCACTTGCTCCATATTTCCCGTCCTCGGCTTCGCCTCGTACGTGAAAATAGCTCTCACATACTCGGCTTCGCCTCGCACGTGGAATTAATGTTCCCTGTGTTCGGCTTCGCCTCACACAAAAATTTGAGCACGCGACGGAAAATGCCACTTTCGGTCCTAGTAATGAAATATACTATTCTAACAGTATGAGTGGATCCCCCCCCCCCCGATGCACACGAGATGTGAAAAAGGTTTTAAAGAAACGTGCTTGGCTATTAATATGAAGACTAGAGGTCGCCCTGTGGTCAAAAACTTCACCAATTTTGAAATTTTATCAGGGCTCTGCCCCAGTGGCCTTCCATGCTCCTGAGTTATCCTTATGGAGAAAATATAAATGTTTGTTTAAATTGGAACAAATGAATACTTTGAAATTTAAATTTTCA